AATTATGGTTAGCCATCCTTTAAAGAACAATGCACAGTACATTTCATTTTGCGGATAGAGTTTCAGGATCATGTGTTTAGCCAGCTATGATGGCAAGTGCTTCAGAGTGCAATGCCCCTCCCCGAATCCAGAGCGAGAAACAGCCAGCTGTGCTAGAAACCGGAGAGCAGCCGAACAGCCAGGGGATCGCGGGGGGGTAGACACAACGGAAGCCGTCGGGATGCTCCTGCCCATCTTCACCACTTGCTGTTAGCCTGCTGAAGAGTCATTGGTAAGCCGACTGCCCCCTCCCCGCCACTTTCCTTTGGATTAAATCTGGCGGGGGTGAAAGTAGGGACACATTTCCAAACACATAAAGTAAAACCTCCACAGTCTGTGACTCATGGATCAGACGTGTCCTGCCTGACCCACGGCGATATGTTTTAAATGATCTATTCCGCCAGGTTCTGCCATTTTTTATCATCTACTTTTATCTAGTAACACCGGAAACCTTTAAACATTTCGTGCCGCTGTTTTCAGTTTGAGTTTGCCAGGAGTATTTCCGGTTATGTACGTCTATAAACTACAAGCAGAATTTAAATAGTGTTGGCAGCTAAATTTCAGGGGAAGTTGCTACATTCAAGTCTATTTGTTGCCGAAAGTTGCCATATGACGCAGTGACGTCATTTTGTGATGACGCTAACACTGTTATGGAGAGTTCTCAGTGACGTTACTCAGATCGATTCACCATCTCGGTGAAAAATAGGATTAGAAATTTGTTAGATTAATTTGTTTATTATCGCATATTTTTATTTGTAAAAGTAATGTCACCCATCCATTTTCTGAAACCGCTTAATCCGATTTTTTAGACAAAACACATTAAATTATTGAACAACTGCACATTACACATTATTGAAGAATTACATTTATTTTGTTACTGACTTGTAAAGCTACAAATTCTGAACAATTATATTTTTAATCAGTGTATCGGTTGTTAAAATGCTACCTAATTTATCAACAATTATAGGTAGCCTACAAGCTAAGTGTAAGGTATATCATATATGATAGGTTGTTGAATAAAGGCCACTTGTAACTTAAACATGTGCGCTAGGAATTTTTGTGTGCTGTTGTGCTTCTTGGCTGGCTAGCTGTTGAATGGGTTTCTGAAACCAAATTAAAATCAAAATCAGCATTCGGAAGTGAAAGAAGTGCAGAGATCAAGAGGGAAATGTAAAAGAGCATTACATAACAATATGCTGTAGAGACGTAAGCTAGCTTGCTAACAAACGATTAGCTAGTTAGCAGTCATTCATAATAACAAACGCAATAGCCGAGGCGGAGACAATACTTTTTGTGTCATTTACACGGAAAATGTGTGAGAAAAACCCTGTGAGTCGCAAAATAATTTCTAAAAACAGCTAAATTTGTTGTTAGTTGGCAACACTGGATTTAAACACTCAGTCCCACAACCACGCCACCTACTGTATGCTCCATTCATTGAACATTATGTTATAAATTAAAAATAATAATAATAATTTCTTTATAAAATTACACTTACTTTTATCCACCATGTGTTTCCAGGCATTCGGAAATCTCGTGGCCACGCGTTATTATCTCGTGGCCACCAGTTAATTATCTTGTGGCCACGCAATATTTTTTTTCTCCTATGTCACCAGAGGGGACAGGTTGTGCTCGAGCTACAACAAACAAATAAAATATAAAGTGCGTCACTTCTGAAAATATATCATAAAAAGCTTTGGTTAAATGTGCAAATGAAAAATGTCAGAAATATTTACATTAACAACTACTCTTATAGCTGCGTCTTGCCTTTTACACGGAGCAGTGTGAATGCAGAAGGTTTTTTCATTGCTAGTGACAACGGTAGTGTCGGACGTAGATCGTTTATTTCGGATTTTTTTTTATGTATTAATGAAGACGTACAGTAGCAAGAGAGTTCAAGCATTCCTGTACCTACTTCCGACTCTTTCTGGATTTCTGATTCCCTTTTTGTCCCAAGGCCCTGAAATTACCTTGTCCTTCGATCACCTGTTTGCCATTTCCTGACCCTCTCCTGTTTTCTGACTATTACGTTTTTGGATACTTTTTGCCTGTTCTGGTTTTGACCCAGATTGTCTGACTCTGATTACTGCCTGCTTCCTGGATCAGATCCACATCTGGTTTTTCTTTTCGTGTACCGTCACACTGGCTCTTTCACTGTTTTATTGCATGGAATTGATAAATAAGCACCGTGGATTCAGTAAACAAAGATCCCCCCCCCCCCAGGACATAATGGTCTGAACAGTACATCTGGAGCAGAACCAGCAGATTGTGAGCTGTCTCAACAGGGTTCGACAAATGAAGAAAAGCTTGGTAATGGAGGCAGAGCAGCTAGTAATTACTTATTCTGGGGTTTGTGCCTTTTTATGCTGCTTATCCCAGATCAAGGAAAAGCAGGAACAGGCAAGAACAAATACAAGAGTAAATGACTAACTCTAAGGACAGACCCAGAAGCTGAAGGACACGGCCATTCTGACATCCCATGTTATTTGCACAAAATGAACCACTGGATCAACAGTGTGACGACATGAGCTCTAAGACACCAACCTGTTAATAAGAGTTGCCAAAGTCACAGAGATGATGCATTATGGGTTGGAGAGCTATGTATGGATTCAAATCAGTGATTTTTGCACATGTGCATCTGAATGAGGTGTGTTTTGGAAAAACCAGGGACAGAAGTGCCGTCATTTTAAACATGTATAATTCTGGCTAAAGACATGAAATCATGTTACAGAAAAGGTTGGAGTGGAGAACAAAAGAAGATCGGAATTGCCTCACAAGCAATATTATGCACAGATAAGTGCATCACAGTGCAAAGCATGCTGGATGAAAGTTTGTTAAGCGATAAAATGAATTTGTTACAGTTTAACATGAAATTGTGCCGGTTTAATGAGTAGTACATGGCATTGTGAGGATCTATCAAAAGAACATAAAGCCTGGCAGTATGCAAGGAAATGGTTTGTTGTTATTTATTAAATGCACAATTTTTAAGAAGACCTTCCAAACACACACACACACACACACACACACATGCACAATTTGTGTAAATCTGGGTGGTATTAAAAAAAATTCCTTTAGAATTGTGTTGCTTTAAGCAAAAGTGAAAAATCACCTAAAATATAAATAGAAATATGAGTAGTGTGTGATTGTAGATAATCTTTAGATACGTTCATTTCCCCTAAAAATTCATCATGTTAAGCCATGACATAGTCACCAAATTCACTTTGATGTCATGGCCGTCGTAATAGGTCAATACAAATTCCCAGCAAAAGAAGCCACCTAGTCAAAGTTACAGTAAATATCATGATGACGCATAGTACAGAAACGCAAATACAGGACCTGCCAGTCATTGTCTTGGAGCTCAGATCCAACAGGTTGCTGAGTAGACAGTGGTTACAGAAGATCTCACTGCGATTAACCCAAGTGAGCTTAGAAATGGGTGACTGAAAACAAGGGTGATCCCGCCAAATCCAACTCCTAATAGTGTGGCATCCTTAAGATTCACAGTTAGTAAGTCACCCAGGGCCTTGAGACAGTATGCAGGCACTTGTGAATTTAAGAAATTTGGATGTAAACCATTGTGTCAGTCTGTCCTGTTCTTCCAATCACTCAACAACTTTCATATGAGAATAGTGTGTGTGTGTGTGTGTGTGGGGGGGTGGGGGGGGAGGTGGAGTGTGTCAGAAGGTTGCCTGAGGCATAAACCCACTGGGGGGTATATAATTTTTGTTGAGTGCACCTTTCAGTGTACCTCACCTCATTGCAATAGAAATTGCTTTGTTTTCTGCACATTGAAGGCTGTATAATTCAAAGCAGGTTTCTCTTACACCGATTCATAGAACTGTACTGTTCCTGTTAACGGGGAACCCCGGGGAACCCCATCTGGAACACTAGGCATGTGCAGGCGGGCTGGGGGGGGGGACTGAGCACCTGCCCATTTTACCTAAACTATTTAATGTGAACCTATGCGTGAGATTGAAGCGCCCCCCCCCCCTCTTTTTTTTTTAAAACCTTTGAGCACCTGCTCCTCAAAGAATCTCTGCACAGCCCTGTGAAAGATCCATGTTTAAAAATTATGTTTCTACCCCGGAAAGCAGACTCTCACATCATCCACATGTTTGAGATCCCAGTGAGGATGTTTGCCAAGGCTTTTATAGGTCTCCAAATGCAAAACTTCTCAAATTCCTTGCTCAAAACTGTATTTCCTTTTATGTTGTTGTTTGCGAACACTTTAAAATTACCTCAAAGTAACTTCATACAACTAATCACCACTTCCAACAGTTTTGCAATATACATTCTCTAGGTGACCTCAATCACTTTGGCTGTCTTTGTATCCACATATTAATTTAGTGATGCTCCATTACCCCCCTATGGTACTATAATGTATTTTTTTTTCTTCCAAGGAAAACCATACACATTTGGCTGCCCCACTTTCTACTCCAGGTACCAACAGAGATATTGCTCGGCCCACAGCAGGCTTCAGAGGAATCAGCAGAACCGCAAATTAAGATGTGTGCTTCTAATTAGCTGGATGCAATTCAAACAGATGTGAGGGACCCTTCAAAAGTGTACCTTTAGAGGAAGGACAGCGTAAGACCCTCTCAGGGAACACACACACACACACACACACACAAAATACCTAAGTAAGCAGTTCTTAAATCACAGTAGTAGTAGAAACATGGTTTTCGGAATGTGTAAATATTTTACATTATTGTAGATGCCTATCTATCTATCTATCTATCTATCTATCTATCTATCTATCTATCTATCTATATATCTATCTATCTATCTATCTATCTATGTAATTTATTTTATTTTGCTTTTGGGAAGTGCTACCGAAAAACGTACTGTTGGTTGTGGGGGTTAAAAAAGCGCACTGGTGCTGATACGTTCCAGCGTCGGACCGCCTATGACGGCCGGTGTCAGCGCCAACTCCTGCACTTCATGCTGCGTCCGCGGTGACGTCGAGCGTGGAGCCCGGGGACACGAGCCGCAACTTCTGTCCGACAGGAAGAGAAAAAGTATTAAAGCCATTAGACCCACTTTGCAGTACAGAAAACACTGGGTCGGTGTCGCTGAGACGTGAACAAACCACGCGCGCATTTTACTCGACAGCTGACACGATTTACTCTCCGTTCGGCTGCTTTCGCAAACCTATGGATGTACCGAGCAGATCGCTCTATGACTGCTCTTCTTTGCCTCTCTCTTTCATATAAGGATAGTGAGAATGAGCACCGGTATCTACCATGGAAAATATTTAGTTTTCCAGAAGACGCGCACATTCACCAGTCTTTTAGACGGTTCAGTAATTTAAAAAGTTTGCCCTTTTAAGTACATTTTCATTTGTACGTCATATTCCAACCAAAATCAATCGTGAAAAAAAAAGAGCGAGATAAGTTTTTCTCCCCGTTTTCAGCCCAGAGTCATCAGTCCGCCTGCGTTGCTCTGCTGCACGAAGTTCGAGTCCTTCACAGCCGCGATCTTCATTATAAGGCGGATAATACGCGATCGAAGCCCGATCATCAAACGATAGAGGTGGTTGTTGTACATTTAAATGCCGCATCTGCCTTTTCGTCCGGAGACTGGCGTTGAAGGTCCGAAGAGATGTTTAGGCGGTGCATTGCGAAGCGGAATCTTCCTCTTGGAATTTGAAACTGAATTGCTTCACTTTCGCACAGCGGCGAAGTTTATTCCCCCTCCCGGAGCGCTGGATTATTAGGGGGACGCGTTTTTGCGCGCACTTACTGGAACAGAGTGGATGCGATGCTTGGATATTTAGATTTTCACGCCATTGGAATTATCATGTTTTTTACGAACGTTTTCAGCGTCTTGCTCTTATTAGGTAAGTGAATTTCGGCTCGCGCGAAAGCTCGGACGCATTTTTTATAAAAGGCAAATGGTTTATGCTTTAATCTTCCGTTTCGCAAATACACCCTCAGTTCACTTAAATATTAAGCACATTTTCGTTTTATTGTGTTAAAGTGAAATTTGCCCTTCAGCCACTATTTATAGGCAATGTTTTTTTAGAATTGTTTTGCAACTTGTATTTAAATATGTTTTATACTTATTTTTACTATCATTATTAAGGGTACCATTTTATACCTTCATTTGAGGTAATCAGATCCACTCGGTTATGGTCATGGTTATGGTTAGTTTTTTTTGTTCTTTACCGTCTCAAAAGTGTATTACGCCGCAAATCTGTTCTCTTCACAACTCAACCCGTTTGCCCACTTACTAAAATATATTTTCTTATTATATTGTCGTGTTTTGACTGAGCGTCCATCGCAAATACGGGACGCTTTGGATGCGCTCAAGCCGTGACTGAGCGACTGAACGAACCTGCGTCGCGATCCCGTTACCCACCGACCCTCCCTTCATACTAATGTGCAGAAGTGGAGTCGGAGTAGAGAGACATTTAACGTGGTGTCCCGTGATGTGACACAGGCGTCCTTCGTTTGATAGAACCGGCAGAATGAAAAAAAGCAACGTGAAATCCGGCCAAGACCATTGAGTGAGGGGGGACTAGACCTTTGGGACGACGGGGGGGACACCTCCTCAATCAATGCCGCTGTCCACTGTGTGCTACACTCTATTTTTATGCACAAGCAAGTAGCCTACATACAGGACGGGTCTTGTTATGTAACGTTTGTCACGTAATATTAGTCAGGATAACAAAATGTTGGCAGTCTCTTGTGGTGGTGAGTCTGTGTTGTTATGTGAAGATCTTATGCAGGGGGAGAAAGAGACATATTTCTGTCTGCCGCAAACCGAAATACCCGTGTGGCTGGCTTAGACAATTTTGTTAGAAAATGATTTTATTAAAATGGTATCTCATATAAAGAAATATATGTTCTCCAAGCAGCTGAAGACTAGTCCGACATGGAGTTAGTAAAGACACCTTCTTCCTATAGTTGGAGATTAAACGGACACCTTTAGAGAGCGGCAATAAATCCTGCATTTTGCACCCAGGCCTGCTGGAGTCGCTGGCGTACAGCTATTGGTTACCCTGCAAAAGTTACATGTACTTTTCATTTATTGAATTGTATGTGCTTTACTTATGCTATCAGTGTCACTTATATTGTATACTCAGCCAACTACAGCAGTAATTGTTCTGATAAGGTACAATACGCTTTTACTATTGATTTAAGCTAATATTTTTCCCAAGACACTGCCCTGCGGGCATTAGTAGTGTCCCAGTGTGCAAACTGAGCTTCCGACAATTTCGGCTCTACGACTGATTGCTTGACTGGGGGAAAAAGCTGAAGGTAATTAATTGTACAGTATTGCTTTGGGTCTAGAATCACTCTCTTTCATTTTTGGCGCTATATACGAAACCTGCAAGCGGTAATGTCATTATCAAAGGTGGCAAATTATTCATATTCAATCAGATGTTATATTGTTAAGCTCTTTTCGCGACTGAATTGCCACTTAAAAGTTTGGTAAAGGCAACGAAAAGACACGGTTGCGGCAGGGTAAATGAATCGCCGCAGGGATTTAGATGGGCGAGTAGAATAGCAGTTAACCGAGAGAGTAACTGGAGGAGAAATAATACAAAGAGGAGAAAAAGATGTTCAGTGAGGGTGAAAAGCCATGAAATGCATTAAAAACCAAGTCATAGCGGCACCGAAAAGACTGAAATCCTGGGAAGTAAATGACGTGTTAAAAAGTCGACGGTAAATAAAGCGAGTTAAATTAAAGCAATCAACAACAGCTCAGAAAGTAAAGTGGACTTTACTGTTGTACACCATTTATGCACAAGTATAGCCTACAGTGGCATGAGATAACGTCCCCCCAAGACCCCAGTCCCACATACAGGAACTAATTAAATAATTGCAAAATATAGTATAAATTTAAAAACAGGAATTATTGTGCAATAATTTCTGTAGGTATTTTTTTACCCCAGCATTTGAACTGATTAAAGCTGATCTGAATAGGAACCTAGATTTTACCCAGTCTGTGTGAAGGGCGGTGGTTCCCCTGTGAAGGAGGGTGAAACCTCAACACCCAGTGAGTGTTAACCCCACCCCCACAGGCACAGACAAACTCACTTAGTCACAGTGTCCCACATAACCCAGCCTTGAGGAATGGGGGGATCATTGTTAACCAGATCCAGCGCTGTTCCTTATTGTCCTCGCTGTTTAAGTATTTTTTTCCTCATCATATTGCAGACTCTCAGTCTCGGTAATCTCAATCCTCCTTCACCACGTACCTGTAGCGTCTTGGATCTAAACCTCGGGATGTTCACTGGAGACCCTCGTCTCCAGGGCCACCCAGCTGGACAGATGTCTGTCTGCGGTGCTGTGAGTGTGTGGGGTTCAGGAGAATCTGCAGCTACAGTTTGACCTTGGTGTGTGATTGTGCCAGAGGGTGCGTGTATATGCCTGACAGCCCTGCTGTGGGCGCTCTGGCTAGGGTGAGTCTACCCTGAGCCCAGTGCTTCCCAGAACAGTGACTGGAGGTTGCTGGAAGTGGACTTAACGGGCAAATGACTGGTCAAGGATACAGCATGTTCTTTTATAGTATATGAGCTAATAACCATTTGGTTATAAATACAGTGTCTTACCCAGGTTTCATGTGAATTGTGGACCAGCCTGGGGTGCTCAGTATACTGTAATTGCAGTATGTTGATGGGCTTTGGCTTGGGAGAGGGGGGGTGACGAGTTCAGATGAGCACAGTCAGTGATAAGACGATCGTGCTTTGCAACGTGGACCACGCTATTTCAGTCAGAGACTTTTATATTTAACTCTGGTTGACAGTCTTTCATCTGCCATCCCAACCCACTCCCTTTCTTTAGGGCACCTCAAGAAAACATTTTAACTGCTTGTGCCAGGTTCCTTATTCCAGGAATGAAGAAAAATATACAGTTTGAGTATTGAAGGCATGTGAAAATGTGCAGTTTGAAGGCCTGCGAGGTGGTCCTGCTTTCTAAAAACACTTAAACACGCGGATGCTTGCATAAAGGCACTTGAAGCTATTTTTGGTGGTTAAAGGAAAAACCTTCTCCTAACAAAACTTCCACTGATAGATAACCTGAGATGATGTGTTTAACAAAATCCTGTGATACGCTTCTATTCGGATGTGAGCCCGGCCGTTAGGTGTACAATGACCTAAAAGCACTATGGGTCAGGAAGCAATAATCACAGAATGGCACGGGGGGAGCTTATTGCTGTTGGCAACCTGCCGTGTTTGATTCACCGTATGCGGTAAGGCATTATGTTAATGTGGCATTCTGTCACCATGGTAACAGAACGCCGCTCTTTCTGCAGCTCTGATTGGCTGTGGCAGGGGTGGGCAGTGCTGTTCCTCAGGTGGCTCCCACCTGATTACCACCTGCCAAATTGAGCATATTTAGGGTGACCAACCTTGGACGTGGCATGAGGCGTTCTAAACACGTTCATGGTGAATAGTGTGGTGCACAAATGCTCAGTTGACTTTATTTGACTTGCAGTTGCCAATTTGCAGAGTGAGGCATGGCGGTTGTCTGTCCAGTGTCAGGAGGAGCTTTGCTGGTACGTCATTGGTCAGGGGTGCTCGACATACATTGCTCCAGTAAAATATCCAGCCGTTTCATTGGGTTAAAATTGAAAGGGTCACTGTGCCAGCCAATCGACCAAAGGTAACTGGTGCAAAATTTACACTGGTAACCTTTGCTGTTTAAATATGCAGGACTCTTTGTAGGATTTGGCTAACAATATCTATTAAAGAACTAGTTACGTTTGAGACTCTGGATTCCTCTTAAAATCCAACTGTGGACTAAAACGTACAACACAGCAGCATGTATGCAGGAGATGAAGAACACCTTCACCAAAGTGTGTTAAATCCATCCACCCCTCAAGATCCAAAATTTCACCCTCTAGTTGAGCTGCTAATCTTGAACAGTTCAGGCCCATGTGTACCCAGGGTGAACTTCTGCAGGTTTTTCAGATGACAGCTGTAAAGTGTGAGTAAGTGACCTGTGCAGTTGAACATGGCGGCAGATGCACACCGATGTCCGTACTTAGTGCTACAATAGCTATGCAGGATTATTAGCTACTGTAACTGTAGCCTATACAATGTAACTGTAACTACTGGTTCAATTTTTTCTTGCCTAAGGGCATTTACATTTTTAAATTTTTTATTTTTTTTTTAGAAATTCAAATTAGACACCTTACGCAAAGATGCCACAGTATTTCCAGTTCTGTGATTTTGGACCTGCAATTTTCAGGTTTAGTTCTGCTGAACCACTGTGTAATTTTTTATAGGTGATTAACACATCATTAATCACAGCTGTCACAATTTTCTGAAAAGGCAACTTGCAAAACGCACACAAAAAAAAAAGATGACAGCGCTAATTCTGCAGCCGGTAAAAGCGCTGAGGCTGTCACCCCCACCCACGCCTCTCCTCCCTCTCTCCCCTCAGAGGAAGTTGTGCACTCCCTGGCCCTTACCTCAGCCTTGCCGGGGGCTGGGGCCCACGGCTGGAGGGCCCCCATGGACTGTGTGCGGGCCAGCGACATGTGCAACCAGAGCCCCCAGTGCAGCTCGCGTTACCGCATCATGCGGCAGTGCCTGGTGGGCCGCGACCGCAGCACCATGCTGGCCAACCGTGAGTGCCAGGTGGCACTGGAGGTGCTGCAGGACAGCCCGCTGTACGACTGCCGCTGCAGGAGGGGCATGAAGAAGGAGCTGCAGTGTCTCCAGAATTACTGGAGCATCCACATGGGCCTGACCGAAGGTAAGAGTGTGTGTTTGGGTGTGGGTGGGTTATATGGATGTACCCAGAGTGAGATAAAGGCCTGTTATTCTGATGTTGTGGGGACCATTTCTGAAACTCAGTTTTATAAAAATCTGTGACTGCAGTCTTGTGTTTTGTTTGGTTACTTATGATTAAGGTTAGGGATGGGTAGGGGTTAAGATCGTCATTGTTGGGATTAGGGTTTTGCCCATAGAAATGAACGGACGCTCTCCACAAAGATATAATTACAAACCTGTGTATGTGTATGTGTGTGTGTGTGTGTGTGTGTGTGTGTGTGTGGGCGCACGTGACTTCCGACACATCCTCTGGTTCAGGCCGGGGACTTTCGCCTGTGGTATTTCAGACGGCGATGTGTTGACAGCTGCAGCATCACAGGGCCTCTCTGGGCACTGCTATGAACACACCTCTTCGACATCTTAGAGTGAGACGCGCAGGTGTTGTCGTAGCAACCTTGAGGTGTAAGAGCCATTGTTAATTCTGAATAGCAAAAAACAACACTACATAGCAATGCAGGTTAGAAACCTTGCTGAAGGTTCAGCACCTATAGCCTGTAGCCTTTCGACATGGACTGCAGTAGTATCAGTTACACCCAAGATGAGTATCATCGTCATGAGGCCAGTATTTATACTAATACTTCTCTTAGGTAAATGCTTTGTATAAGACACTTTCCTTTAATGTTCATATCATAGTGAAAATTGATTGTGTACACATTGTGCGTCATCACATTGAGCTATTTGCCTTCATAAACATCTGCCAGTGAGCCAAGGGCTGGACGGTCTGCCTGGCTCTGCCCCCCCAGCTCACAACAGGGCGCAAACCAGCCCCCACCCCTTATCCCCAGCAGCTAAGGCTAGTAAAGCTTGTTAAGTGTGACAGGCAACAAAGAGAGAGTATTATCATTAGGAGTCTGTTACACAGTTGACAGACCCAAACTATGAATGCACATATTCATTGGAAAATGCTCAGGCAACCAATTATGACGGATCTCCCCTTGTCACTCTCTGAAGGCCAATGGAGGGAAGCGAGGTCGTTTCCTGCAGCGTGATTATCTGACCTCCAGGGTGGTCTTGTTTATCGCTACATCTCAGGATCGTTCAGACGCCCTCCAGGCTGGAGAGCTGCCCCAGGCGCTAATTGTCGTGCCAGTTCTGGCCTCAGTCCAAGAGGTGCCAGGACTGAAAGGTACTATGGAAACAGAGCCGGCAGAGGCCACTGGGTCGGGAGCTGTCTGCTGCTGTGGTGCTGAATCAGACTGGAGCTTAGAGCTCAGCCAGGCGGCTCTCCCACGCTGCCGCCCCCAGGCCTGTCATCCAGCAAATAACACCATGTCCCACTTTGCTCACTTAGCCAAAATAGTTTTAGGTAAATAAAAATAAAATGAGGGTGGGTGATGGGGGGGGGGGGGGACAATGGAGTGGTGCTTGTATCAGTCACATTCTCAAACAAAGGGAGCCTCTTTTAAAGCACTTACTGGGGTATTGTCGGCAGGCAGCCAATGTCTGTTCATCCTGGGAAACTTTGGCCCAGCTGAATTTGGAGTGCATGGTGGAGGCGGCGAGTCTGGAGGCTAAGAATTACCGTGAGCGCGGTGTTCCGTTCAGGGACCGCTTAATGGCCCGCTGCGTCACACAGATGGCCCCTGGGGCCGAGAGATCAGTGCCCAGCTGAGCTTCTCCAAAAGCAGTGGCTGAGCGGGGCTCGTGTATGCACGAGCGTCCGGGACAGAGACACCGGGAAGTTGCTGAACTTGTCACACATGAGCTGGCCATATGTTGGGTTTGGTTTCGAAATCTCAGCATGAAACTGGCACGCAGAAAAACGCAGGGCTCGTCATCCCTCAGCTGCCAAGAACTCCGAGGCGGAAGGCGGAAGGCGGCAGAACGGCACATTAAGCTTTGTCAAGAGACGCGAATCTTGTTCCCCCTACGGACATTCATTAAATAAATGTTAAAAGCTGAAAACAACAAGACAGGATTAAAGGAAACACAAGGTAACATTTTCCTATTCAAATAATTACCCCTCAAGCATGCCTGGAAGCACCTGCCCAAACCCCACCACAAAACCTCAGCCTTTCCTTTACATTCCCTCTCACACACACAGTTTATTGGCTGCTCCATATCTGTACCCATTAGTTAACGAGATATCTATGCCAACAAGGAAACAGATACAAGTCTCAGTTACAGACCGAAGATAAAGACACTGATCATTCTGATCTCTACTCTTCATCTCAATGACCAGTACAGATGCTCCTCTACTTACAAACTTTCAGCTTACGAACTTTCAGACATATGAACGAAGAGGACTGTAAGTCCAAATTGTCTTCATTGGGCTCCCAGTTCCTGTCCGCAACATCAATTTTTTTTTCTGCGCACCAACTTGACCTAGTATGACTTCTGGCCGCTACTCCCGCCGCGCAGCAGCGTAGCGTGCGTACTCCCAGCATCCTAGTCCTCTGTACTTGCGCATACCCTTAAAATGATGTTGAACAAGGACTTACGAACATTTCAAGTTACGAATGGCCATTCGGAACGTATCTCGTTCGTAAGTAGAGAAGCGTCTATATATTTGTTCTCTCACATCACTGGTGGAGCAATCAGTGCAGAAGTAGTTTAGTATGATTCTCTTTTGTACTGAAAAAATCCACACAAAGGGACAGAACAGTGGTTGTCTCTGCTGAATGGAAGAATTGAGCAAAGTTGCCAAGTCGTATTTTCAGACTGAGGTGGTAATAACCTAATGTGACTCTCCACCTGAGCCTTGAAGAACATTGACGATGACATATTTTTTGGTCGACTGACAACAGCAGTTAAATGCCAGCTGTGGAATTGGCTGCTTCTCACATCTTCTGCTTTGACCCTGATCTTTGTCGCGGGGCACTAAGGAGCTTGCACAGTTTGAGGGACACACCACTTGAGAGTTTCTCTCCTCTAGGGTAGCAAGGGTCAAAGTCCCAGTCACAGCACCAAGCTGTGAGACGTAGGTTTTAAATCCTGTGGGGTGTTCTGGATACCAGGAAATAGATGGCACAATGGAGAGGCATGAAGCAGAAGATTACAGGGCCAGGTTCTGTAATGCTATTGGAACAACAGCTGTAGATATAACATGGTATTTAACCTCAAATACCTCCTTAAATTGCCCTGCTATTTAAAACTGGATATCATTAAGCTGTAAGCTAAGTATGTAGCTAATTTCAACCTACTTCTGCTTCAGGATGTGATGAATTCTTTTCAGAAATACAGGCCAATGGACTCGCAGTACTGTACTAAAAATGTTCCGCACTTTCATTTATTTTGCCATTTTTCTTCTGTCTGTTTCATTGTCTTCTTCCTTGAAGAGTAAGACTCCAATCACAAGTTCATCCCAGCCTATGCCAGGTAGCACAGGGAGCAAGGTCCAGCCAGAAGTGTTTATAGCGATGTATTGTAAGTGTGATTTAACAACAGTTTAAGTCTTCATAGCACCATTTCAGTGCAATTAAGACAAATTTAATACGTCCGGAAATGGCATCTGATGTTGAGAGATCTAGATAAAGCGGCTTATAAAAAACAAGGTTTTTATCTCTAACATCTTTCGGCTGTCTATAAATATTGGGTCTAGTCTGATGTTTTACTGCAATATTGTGTCAGAATTAAAAATAGGGATGGGCTGATCCACATTTTCAGTTCCGATACACTTCCAATACACAACTGCTGATACTGATACAGATTCCAATACAAGAGCTCTTCTCACTTTAATATTTTAATATAGTATATGTTCTTACGCTTGTCTGATGTTCTTAGCGTTCAGCTTGAACGCCGCAAAAAACATAAAATAGAAGGAGCTGTCATGCAATTCATTGTACAAATAGATTTAACAAGAAATAGGAGCGATCATTTTACAGACTGCTGAAAACTGAATAAGTATCCTACGTATGGCCAATACGTGATCCATCAAATAGGTCTGGATCAGTCTCGATACAGATTCAAAGATCAGTGCACCTCCAGTAAAAAAAAAATGTACATTGCAGATCTGTAATTGAAATATCTACAGTATAGGCAGAGTGTGATTCTCAAATGAGTTGCTTTAAAAACTACATGTTTTTTTTTTTAATTATCTTCTCTATATAAAACTGTCTATGGAGAAAACATTTGGTAATTATTTAATTACTCTATGGCCCTCTCCAACCTAAGTAGTTGGAAAATTTATGGATTAAATGAGATATTCATATTAACTAGCATTAATATTAAATACTTGTTTTTTAAAACTGAAATGACACTTTGTCCCCTGCCTGTGAATGACCAGAACTGTGTGTAGGGTGGCTTCCTGATTACATGTATCTCTGGCACGTTGTTCTTCGGGGAAATCCTTTGAAGCTGCTGTGTTAATGGCTCTCTGAATACTGGTGTGTGTTTTTTTAGGGGGGGGGGGGCTGCTTTGGAGCCAGGCCGGTCTTTGGGTTACCTCTCAGTTACTGGTTCATCAGCAGTAGAGGTTAGGCCCTCATCTACATAACGACTTCATTCAAGCTATTATGAGATGTCTTTGTGAGTTAGGGCGGTGATTTAGAAAACCGTTAAGAAATTTGTTAAAAAGTAAGTGATTTAAAGAGCAATAAAGGAATGAATTAGAACAAACAATATGCACTTTGAATATAATCTTTGTAATGTTGTTTTACTTACATATTTGCTTAATAGTCAAGCCATACATAATGTTAACTGCTTTATACTGAGGAATATTTATCTCACAGGATCGGTCCTCTGGAGCTTTACTGCACACAAATTTGTGGCGAAAACCTGAATCTTTAAGCAGCCGTCCCCAGTGTCACTTTGCTCATTTTGTGCTGCTTTCAGGCGCTCCAGATAGGAAACCCGCCTGCTTCCTTTGCCAGAGAATCTGCGATATCCGAGGAAATATTTAGCAGGCGCTGAGAGCAAGGGGTGATTAATTATGCAGCTTGCTGCTTCCCTCGTCTCCTCCTGCATCCCAATTAGCTCTGAATG